AACCAGCACTAAGAACTTTGCTTTCCCTTGCCCAAGATAATGACCTTGATACCAACCATTGCCAATAAGGGAAGAAGTGAGTTGAAATTTCTTGGTCACTCTGCATCAGAATCCTAAGAACAAATTCAAGTCTGCTCACTTTCCCTACGAATATTTAACCCGCTAGTCCTTAACCGAATGCACTATTTGAACAGCCATCTAATCCAAACTTACATAAAGGCCTCTAAGGAGCTTTCCCTGATTCCTCACTAAGAGTCTCAGAAGTTCAGTTAAAACCAGGGGGAGCTGGGCAGTGTCTCCAAGATGACCACGTGTCTCCAAGGTGTCAGGGGCTGTCCTTGCAGTGCACTGCTTCATCGTGTCTTGTGTTGTGGCAGGAAACAGAAGGTGACAGTTTGAACGATGAGAGCAGAATTCCACTTAGGAAGAGAGAGGCGGTCTGGTCTCAAGGATGAAGTTCCCCGGGCACAGCAGGAGTGCTTTTGGAAGGAGGGCGAAGAGGAGACTGGAGTGCTCTGTCAAATAATAAACAGGAAATTGGGAAGCAGGTCAAAGAAAGGGAGGTCATGATCAACACAGGAAATAGAAGTGGCTTCTCCTCCAAGAACTTCCCAGTAGTGTGAACGCAAGCAGTGATTTTCAGAACAGTATCTTAAGTTCCATGTGCTGAGCCGTGAAGTCATTGCCTCAGACCTTCAGGTGGCACTTGCTGCCCCCAGAGCCTTGGGTCAGGAGGTCTCTGGGGAAGAAAGAAATTGGAGTGGTGCCCAACGGGGTGACCCAGAGCAGAAAAGGGGTGGCAGATGTGGAAGGCAAGACAGAGTGGAGCTGTGGAGTTCAGCAAAAGCAGGGATTCAGGTTGGAGACGGCTGTGCAAAATCTGTGTCCCTCCAAAAATCGCCCCAAGATATTAAGAAAAACACTGTTTCCCTCTGTGTGTTGGTGAGGGCTCCACATGGGAAAATCTCCCAAGATCACAGCAGGCAGACGACTTGGAATATCCATGTAGCTGACTTTTAAATTAAACATATATGAGATGATCCTTAAACATGCTATGATGATTTTTTTCCTTTTAAATATAATATAGGTAATTTTTCTGGGAATTCAATAATTTTGACTCCTTTTCTAGAATTCCAAAAAGGCTGAGGGAGAGTGGATGGGAAGTTCATGTGTATCTTTTTTTTTATTTTTCTATAAGAATATTCAAGAATTTTTTTTTTTTTTTGAGCCAGAGTCTCACTTTGTTGCCCAGGCTAGAGTGAGTGCCATGGCGTCAGCCTAGCTCACAGCAACCTCAATCTCCTGGGCTCAAGCGATCCTTCTGCCTCAGCCTCCCGAGTAGCTGGGACTACAGGCATGCGCCACCATGCCCGGCTGATTTTTTCTATATATGTTAGTTGGCCAATTAATTTCTTTCTATTTATAGTGAGACGGGGTCTCGCTCTTGCTCAGGCTGGTTTCGAACTCCTGACCTCGAGCGATCCGCCCGCCTTGGCCTCCCAGAGAGCTAGGATTACAGGTTTGAGCCACGGTGCCCGGCCGATTCAAGATTTTTTAAAGGAGAAACTCTTGACTTAGGAGAATTTTGCTTTGCTTCTGATTATTTGGAACAGGCATTCACCATTAGTTGCGACACATTGAAGGATTTGCTGGTCAGTTTAAATCAAATCTGATTCATTTCAGCTCTTTTTATGTGTATGCAGTAGAGGGAACAGAGAGTATAAAACCAGTGTTGATAAACAGAACAGTTGGGGTTCTTGCCCGGAAGAAATACTGCCATCCCATCCACGTGTTCTGGATGTGGGAGGATCTTCCTGTTCTCAGCTCCCTCTGCCATGTGAGATGTGCTTGGCTTTGTAAGCTTTAATGCCTTGTTTCCACATGTTTGGGTGGAGGCATGCCTTAGGAAGAGAGACAGAGAAACAGGGAGTTTGAAGAAGAAATCAAACACCTGAAAATAAGTCATCTCTTAGAGTTCAGATGTCCATGAAACTTTACGAGTGAAATGAACAATGTCATGATTTTCAGGATCTGGATTTTCTCTTCCTTCCAAAACCCCTGAGACACACACTCACACACACACACACACACACACACACACACACACACACACACAATTCCCCAATAGAAAATTCCCACTAGGTCATCTGAAGCCATTTGGTGACAGCTAGAATTCTGTACTAGCTGAGGCTGAGGCAGACAGGAGACAAGACACACAATAAGCATTTCAAAAAACATCTCACAATGTGATCATCAATGTGTAATATGAGCCGGGAGTTAGTTAAATAAAATGTGAAAGGCGTATTAATGACCCTTTTGGCTGTCCAACACAGCATTTCATTTTCCTTTCCATGGATGCAGAGAGTAGGGCCGGCGAATAAATTATAGATGAAACCCCCATCATATGTTTATAAATACACTAACATTAGCATTTTACTTCCTCATAAATCTGCAGCAAACACTCAGGCGCAAGATGGAGAGCCCTGTAAAACAATGATATATTCTCTGCTCGCAGGCACTGACTAGTGGCCCATTCACTCCCGGTGCTGTTCTTCAGCCCCGCTCCCTCTGCTCGTGCCCCCTCATTTAAAATCCATTTTAATTTAAAGATGCGCAAGGCAGTGCTCGTGGTACATTTACTCATCCTAGTTATACATCATGGAGCAAGGAAAAGAAAATTGTTTCATCTAGAGATACGGTTCAATGTGGTCACCACTGAACAGTGGAGTAATTACCATATCAGGCCCACTCAAAATGCACTCAGGGTGTTCTGTGACCTATCATTTGCTAATCTGCATAGTGAAGTATAGCTTCATAACTATAAATTGCTGACTTAATTAAAACCAGGACCTTTCTGTCATTTAATTACAGGGAGAAAGGTTATTGCTTAAATGCAATTTTCCAAATGTGATTTCTTAACAGTTATTAACTGCTTCACCATCATTTATTGTTTCAGATTTTTCAATTTGAAAATACTCCCCGTGACAGAAGTAATGACTTCATGAAAAACTCAATCTAGAGGGAGGCCAGCCAGCCCATTTGTTTCTCATAAGTGGAGCCGACAGGAAACTGGAAAATGTCACCGAAGGATCCTGGGATGGCTCTCACTTTCGGGGAGTAATTAAAACCCAGAAGGTTGTATCAGAGATGGGGAGAGGTTGTTTGTGGACATTGTAAAGGCGACCCCTCCCTTCCATCCCAGATGGCAGGTGTGTTTGCCTTACAAAATACGGTGGTGGCAGCAGTGGTGGCGGCGGGACTGTGCTGAGGCTGGCAGGTAGCAGTTGAGAGCTGAAAAGAAACCAATCAGACAGCAACTGGGCACCACTTTGAACGTGTGCATGCTGTCTGTGATATTCCTGCATGTCAAGTTTCTTCTCCCACAGAACGTAGAACTCTTATAAGTCTGGACATGGCAGATAGCAACATCATAAAGACCACAGGCCACATTTTCTCTAATCCCATGTCCTGCTTCAACCCTTAGATGGTTGCACCCTCTCTTTTTCTCCATGTTTTAATAGACACAGCCTGGAGGTTATGCAGGTAAATCAGAGTGACTGGTGAAGTCGTCCAAGACAGATAACCTGGACAATTTGGCATCCACCAAAGCACTTCTTTAATAACAGAGAATCTAGGCTATTGTCTTAATTCCCATGTGCACTAAATGCAGACTTGGGTAAACTCAATCCTTGGCTTCGTGTTGTAGCTCTATGTCCAGCAGAAGAGCCAGAAATTTCACTGGGATGGAAGATCTGGTCTTTTCCTAGACCTTAACAGATAGATCTATGCTAGGAAGTTTACAAACGTGAACAAATGTGTTTTCTGCCTACAGGGACCTGACTGGCAGCTCCAGACAAAAACTGCCTTGCTTACTGTTTGAAGAGATCACCCTTAGGTTTCTCTTTTACTTTAGGATAGGGTTAAAATTAAAATTGCTCAGACGAAGAAGTGAAAATTCACCCAATTTCTGCATATTTTAGCCGTTTCTTTTGGATTTATTCATTGTGGCAGATACACAAAAATGACTAATGGAGATTTCATAAAACCTAACTCAGATTATTAATAATCCCTCATGCTCTCCATCAGCAGCGTGCTTTGAAGTTTTCAAAGCATCTTCACATACTTTACCAACTTCAGTTCAATTAAGCAAATATTTTAGTAACACAAATATTAGAAAGGCAGGCAATCAGGCGAAGTCATTTGCTCCTTCCTCCACTTCTATTAAGTAGCAAGGAAGACGTTTTTCAAAAGTCAGCTTCATGTTCTCCCTCTACTTTTTTTTGGAAAGAAACAGAAACACACTCACCCTTGATCAAAGTAAGTAAAAGGGAAGCTCAGCATAAACCTTTAGAGACCCCAGGGAGGCCAAGGACAGCAACCAAACTATACCAAGGCTTCAAGCGAACTAGAACGGAAAAGCTGAGATCCAGGCCTGCTTTGCCTCAATAGGCCACTCATGGTCCCCCTCATCCATCTCTGCTTCTCAATAGGTTTCCACTCTTAGTTTTTCCTTTCTTTTCTTTTTATTTTTTTGAGACAGAGTCTCACTTTGTTGCCCAGGCTAGAGTGAGTGCCGTGGCATCAGCCTGGCTCACAGCAACCTCAAACTCCTGGGCTCAAGCGATCCTCCTGCCTCAGCCTCCCAAGTAGCTGGGACTACAGGCATGTGCCACCATGCCCGGCTAATTTTTTCTATATATATTAGTTGGCCAATTAATTTCTTTCCTTTTATAGTAGAGATGGGGTCTCGCTCTTGCTCAGGCTGGTTTTGAACTCCTGACCTTGAGCAATCCGCCTGCCTCAGCCTCCCAGAGTGCTAGGATTACAGGCGTGAGCCACCGCGCCCGGCCCATTTTTTCCTTTCTTGATCATTTCCTCCTCTTCCTCATTTCATATCCGATCCAACATGGCAGCCATCCTGACTCTGCAGTTTCGTCTTGCGCCACTGCCATGCTAAGATTTCACAGTATATAGTTCCGCAAATACATGTGTCACAGGCCACAGTCTGTGCTTGCGGCCGGCGTCTGAATGAGTGGCATTCCGGTGCGACTGTGCCCTCAACCTTTGGGATCCGACGCAATCTCCAGGCAGATGGTCGGAATTGACTGCGATTAGAGAACTCCCTCCTGGCCGGCTGGAGGAGCCACGCCAGAACTCGTCGCCAGTGGAGAGAAGTCCCCACACACTTGTTGGTGACCAGATGCGACGTGCTCTGTGGTGAGTGGGGTTGGCTGTGTGAGAGCAGGAAAAATACCTTCCGGTTTTCCATATATCTTTCAGAACCGTGAATTGCCAACCTCCTTGTCTTAGTTCAAATTCCTGGAAGAGGCAGTCTTGTTGTTTGGGTGCTTCCCTGTTTAGAAAATAGCAAAGCATGGGGTAGTGGCTACTTGGGCCTTTGGACAGAGCAAGCAATAAAAGACACATTTAGGAAAGCGGATTAAAAATTATGATCTTTATTTGAGAGGTAAGGAAACTAACCCTTACCAAGTTAAATGCCCTACTGAGGTTCACACAGCATTTGTGCAGCCGAGTCATGTCTACAATCTCCCCTAGTCAGTGTCTCTTCCAGGGGCTAAAAATATTGAACTCACTTATTATTATACATATACATACAACTATAGGTTTTTATATTGATTATGTTTCATTTTAGCCATTAACAAGAACACATTTCCCCCCAACAACTAACAAGTGTACAAATCTTCTAGTTAAAGGAGAAATTCCATTGATTTAAAATGAGAGACTAAATTGTTTCTTTTTTGTAGTTAATACAACTAAAGCTCTCATTTGTACCCTACTAGCTACTATATTGATTATTATTATATCACTTAATCAGAAAGGTGGTGGAGGAGAGTAACAGTGACTAATACACATTTAAGATTTTAAATTGGAAGCAATATGCTACATTTTTTTTACATACCAAATGCACAATCATGACAATTTCATTCTTGCTGTGATTGCTTTATGTGGCAGCCTCATATGGGGTCTAAAAATCTGGCTCTATCATAGATGGGAACCATGGGATGGAATCCACGGGATGGGATGGTGCCCTAAATGACTCGATTTGAGTCTGGGCAGAGGAAATGATTTGAATCCCTTGCACACCATTTACCACCACCATCACCAGAAATGAGGTGGTTTTAGAGAAACATCACCCTACACTTTATAAAATGATTATAAGACATACTATAAAACATTTGTCTAGGGTGGCATGTGCAATATGCAGAGAGACAAGGGGAAGACAATTTCCATATATGACCCATATATTTTTTGTTAGGGGGACCCCCAGTTTGGTCCACCACATTGTGGCCTTGTAGCAATGACCACAGACACAGCAAGCCACAAACCAAGCCTTGCACACAGAAGTCATTTCTGTGCCTAATCCTGCAATTTAAAGAGATTGCTCCTTCAAACTCACTGCAGTTAGAAAACCACACTAATTCTAGACCAATTCCTCGCGCCCCCCCCCACCACCAACATATCAGTGTGGTTTTATTTTTGTTTGTTTGTAACAGCTTTATTGAGATATTATTTACATACCATAAAATTCACTCCTTTAAAGTGTACAATTCAATGGCTTTTAGTATCTTCACAGAGTCATGCAACCATCATCAACATCAAGTTTAGAACTTTCTCATGAACTAAAAGAAATCCTGTTTTCCTTAGCAGGAATTTTCCAGCTCCCCTAACCCTAGGCAATCACTAATCTAACTTTCTGTCTCCAAGTATTGGCCTATTCTGGACATTTCATATAAATGGAATATTATAATACGTGGTCTTTTGTGACTGGTTTCTTTCACATGGCATAATGTCCTCAAGGTTCATCTGATTCATCTTGTAGCATGAACCAGAATTTCATTTTTTTTTATGACTCAATAATATTCTATTGTATGGACATACAACATTTTATTTATCCATTCACCAGCTGATAGACATTTGGGTTATTTTCACTTTGGGGCTATTATAAATAATGCTGCTATGAACATTCATGTACAAGATTTTGTATGACCATATGTTTTCAGTTCTCTAAAGTATATTCCTAGGAGTGGAATTGCTGGGTCATGTGGTATCTTAATGCAGGCTGCTGTAAAAAAAAAACAAAACAAAAAAAAACCCCACCAACAACAACATTCTAAACTGGTTGGCTTATCAACACCAGGAATTTATTTCTCACAATTATGGAGGCCAGAAGTCAGAGATTATGGTACCAACAAGGTCAGGTTATGGTGAGGGACTTCTGGATTGCAAATGGCCTTCTTCTTGTATCCTCACACAGCAGAAAGAAGACAGACAGAGAAAGCAGACTCTCTTCTTTTTATAAAGGCACTAATCCCATTCTTGGGCCTCCACTCTCATGATCTAATTACTTCTCCAAGGCCCTGTCTCCTGACACCATTACACTAGGGGTTAGAATTTCATCATATGAATTTAGGCAAGACTCTTGTGTTTAACCTTTTGGGGAACCACCAGACTATTTTCCATAGCACTACCCCATTTCATATATCACCAGCAATCCAATATCTTTTAATAAGTAGATTTCACAGGTTCCAGCAGCAGATCTGTCCATCCTCTGGCCTTTTTACACTCTGAGAAGCCAGTAAAATAAACCTTCCTGAGGACTGAGTAAGGCAGGCACCCTGACTCCACCTCCTGCCAAGAGCTTTTGGAAGGAACCTTAAAGAGTGCTCGGTCCAGTGTTTCCCAAAGTGTGTTCCAAGGAACCACTGATTTCACTAGATGTTCTTCTTTTTTTAAAATGGTGGTTCTTTGCTCAAATGTATTTGGGCATCACTGGGTTCAACCAAGTTAAACTCTTTCTGCAGGATTTCTCAGAGCTATTAATATGCTAATGTGTATCATCAATTTCCAAGAGGGAAGTAGAGTGTGCAGAGTTTCTAAGCAATATTTGACCACAGGAAGAACATTTTCCTCCCCTCTGGGAGAAACTTCCAGAAATTATAATCTTCAGAAGATGCTATGAAATGTTGATCTGGTTCAATCCCTCACTTTAGCACCTGCCCTCTCCCAGATGTTCCTAAGGATCATAATCTTTTTTGCTACCATTTACTAAGGGCTTGGGACACATTAGGTAATCAACCAGGTGCTTCCCAGATGTTGATTTGGTTGATCCTTTCCAAAATACCTCAAAAAATGGAAAGGAAAAAATTATTTGTCATAAAAAAGGAGGAGGGAGGAATGATGGTGTTCCCATCGTATAGATGAGTAGACTGAGGCTCAGAGAGATTAAGCAACTTCCCCCAAGGTAACATGACTAAATAGTAACATTGTCTGGACTCGAACCCAGGTCTGTCTCTCTTTGGAGTCTCCATTTTGACCACCATGCTGCATCGCAGGGAGTGAACTTCATGTTTTTCTGATGGGCTTGACACCAATTTAAAGGAAGGAACAGCAGGGGGGCAGCAAGAGCCAGCCAGAGGCCAAACTAGAAATCCAAATAATTGGATATTATTGTAAATAATTGATATTTTTCTCAAGAGACAGGCTAGGTTCTAGAAGACTTCTACTTCCTCAGACCTACACATGGCTTCTTATACACACATACTTGGGTTTATTGCTCATTGTTTCCACATGGCTGTTTAATCCAGGAGTGTAGGGTTTTTTCCCACTGGAGCAAAGATTAAGTACCAAGATATTTAGAGGAAGTGGAGATGAGAAAATGCAACTAGGTCCAATCCAACTGCAAGATTACTCCTCGCAGAGCAAAACCCCTGCCCGGCTGGCTCTGACCCCTGAGCCATGTAGTGGGCCATGGCGGGCCAGGGTGGAAGAGGCATCAGTTAACGGCTATGTGCTCCGAGGGAAGTCACCTGATTCCTCTGGATCATAGTTGCCTCATGTGTGTAACCAACCCTTAGAAATCCAAGTCACCATGCGGCCCATTATCGGCAAAGAAGTATAAATCCAACATTTAAATATTTTCTGCAGTATCTTGAGAAAAGAATGAGGATGAGAGGGTCTATGTTAAAAATATATAGGGAAAACATCTTGAAATTTTTCTGTAATGCCCCCTTTCTTTCTACCTCCAACATACACAGCAGGACCCTCAGAGGCCTTCTCTTCCCTCACTCTGGGGACCCCAAAGACTCCACCTAGAGCTCACAGTTCAGAGAGGCACCTTCTTCTCTTTCATCCTACCCACTCTCCTTCTCTATTCTCTTCCTCTCGCCTATAGTTCCCCATCCTTCCCAATTTAAATCCTGCTGCCTTGCTGGCATGTCCCTCCCGTTCTCCCTCATCTCCACTGACATAGTGACAGGTGAGGCCGGTGTGTGCTCAGGAGCGTGCACGTGTGTCTGCATGTGTGTGGGGTGGGCGCAGGGAGGAGAAGAGATCGCAGATGCTATAACTACGTTGCCTCAGGTCACGGTCCGCATGGCGATGTATCTGAACACAAATCCGGCTGTGAACAAATATCTTGGAAAAGTAGTATGCATTTACTTAAGCCTCCTGCAGGGCGTGCAGAAGGGAGAACTCTGTAGCATCACCTCCAGCCAGCGTCCTAACAATGCTCTCAGCAGAGCCAACCCACCACGACAGTGGCTCCCTTCTGACCAAAGAAGGTGGCCAAGTGACTCAAGGCCAATCAGGATGTATCCTTGGGGATTTTTCCAAATATAAACTGGGGAGAAACAGCCCTTTTTCATCTTTGGTAGCAAGCTATAGCTACACTCTAGGAGGTAAGCCTAGGGTGGCCCAAGGCCATGTCTCCTCTCCTGTCATTTGGAGAATCTGGTCTAGAGAATAAAGACAGCATGCAGGGAGAAGCAGAAAGAGAACAGAAGAGCATCCTCCTGGTGATGGAGCTCTTGGATCCTGACTTCCCTGAGCCCAGCTCCAACACACTTTTTTCACAGTCGAGTCCATGAACCAATGATGTCTCCTTTTTTGCTTAAGCCAATTTCATTTGTGTTTGGGTTACTTGCCTCCACAGGGCTGCTCAGGCATCTTTGGCTGCTCAGGCATCTTTCTCCTCCTGGCAGCATCACAATAGCTGGATTTCTTGCATTCAGCTGCAGATGCCCAGAAGGAGTGTCCCAAGAAGAATTAGCAGAAACTGTGTGCTGTTTTCTGAGCGCCACGTCCTCTGCTTCTTCTGGGTGGGCACAAAGGCCAGCAGGAGGGACATAAACTCTACCTCTTAATGGGAGGATATTCAGAGATGGTAAGAGGAATCAGAGTTTGCATCTGCAAAGGGT